AAGAAGTATGTACAGACATACACATATGATTAAGACGGTAATGTTTCTTCATCTGAGATGATGATGAATGAATATGCAACATTTCTATCTATTAATATTATATTTCCTTAGTATTGATGTGTCCACTTGGAAATTTTTATTAAGATTTACTACAGTTGCATGAGCTCTCTAGAAGCAAAGTCTTAATCATTTGATGTGGTGACACATAATTTTCTTGAAACTGCTTGTTAAAATGAGTAACCATCTAGATTTCACATTCATTGCTGAGTATACCTGGGGTACATTGATCTGGGTAACATCTTGACAGTTTAATTTGGTGCTTGCTATATAAGCAGTCCATCAATTCCCTATTAATTTTGTGTTTTATAAACTCAAAATGAAAGATCTATAGATTTGTACTTACTTAGATTTTAGAGAACATATATATATCTGTATATGCACTTTTATGACTATAATGTTTTTTATTTCAATATTTTCTATGAAATAATCGAACAGGTAAGATGTTCAATTATTATTGTTTATACAAAGGTTTCCTTACAAAAAGTGGGAAAATAACATGAGTTTCAACTTGATAAAAGATATGAAAAAGAATATCTATGAGTCAAGAGGGTGAGGTATTTATTTGTCGTCATTGTGTTCCCCCCTTGTCGTCATTGTGTTCCCCACTTAAACATCTGTTTTAAGGGAGTGTGATCCCAGACAGTACGGATAAAATCTTTGTTAAAGTTTGGTGCCGAAAGTTAGAATTTGTCCCTTAATATGTACTAAGTGCAGATTTGTGAAACATCCAATGGTAATGCCAAAATGGGTTTGATGTGTTTTAGAAATCTTTGCCTAATTTTAGAAGATTAATAGGTACTGAAATTTTAAGAATTGTGACAATACTTTAAGATACCTTTAATCCTGTAACATGGCGCTTCTATAGTACCAGCAGCTGGTCACGCTAAATAACTGCTTCTCTGGTGGCAGTAGTGACCACATAGTCAACTAACCCTAAATAACTATTTTTACTATTTGTTTTTAAAAGCTAGCTTCCTTAGGTCTTGGCTTTAAAACATACTTGTGGCATTACCTTGAATAGACATTGCATACACATTACCTTGAATAGACTAGTACTGAGTCTATGTCTCAGAAACTAGTCTGTGTCTTACATGATCATTATTGCAATCTAAGTAGGAAGGAAAGAAGGAAATATATCAGTTACAGTCTCCTTTCAAACTACAGTGACCTCTTCAACTCAAGGTGGGTTTGGACTATATGAGGTTTGTGAGACTGATTATGAAAAGAAAGATTAGGTGAAGCTTAGACCCTTTAAACCCTTTAAGTCATACTTACGGAACTTAGAAAGACAGTTGTTGTTAAATGTGATCACTGGTACATTGCTTTGCCTTTGAGGAAAGTTTTAACTAATCCAGAATAGGTGTCAACTATCTTATACTATTTCATAACATAAAGTAACACAGAAAGTTGAATGAATTTTGAATGTTGCTTTAAGGCCTTTCACCAGCTAATGATACGCCTAACTACAGGAGACACAGTTAATAACACCCTCCCTTTTTTTAAAATCAGAGAAAAATTGATGTGTGTCTCATAAGTGGAGCACTCAAGGGACGAACACTCCAGCAGAGGGTTTATAAAGAAATGGAGGCTTGGAATTTATGCTATAAAAGAATTGTAAGAATTGTGCTAAGAATATTATAGCTAAGTAGAGGTATTAGGGGAAGAGATAAGATGGAAATTTGAATTGAGGCTAAGTACTGTCAAGGGCTCTTGACTTTTCTATCCTATTTGCTTTGGGAAGCCTTTCAAAAATTTTGAGCACAAAAGCTAGCAATTTGGCTGAATGTGCCTTATCAAAAGTGTTTGGTAGTATAAAGAAGGATAGATTGAACCAAGTATATCTATATGGTGATTTATGTTATCTATCTTACAATATTCATTATATTCCTTACTAATAAATCAAGGCTGGAATGCTGTCTTCCAAATAGTGCTAATTTTCAGGTAATTGAAAGTTCTTCAAGTGCCTTAGTTTCAGTTTCATAAGGTACAACTTTCTGAACTGTTATTCATGTCCCATTTTTAAAAATGGAATCTAACACGTAGTTTAGTTTAAATGTTGACACTGTATATCTATCTTCCCTCTTTTTGCTCAGTGAAACCATCCTCATTTGTCTGTGTGCTGCTTGTGGAGGCACTGTCTTTCCTTTCCCACTTGTAATTCTACCATAGTCTATTATATTTAATTTCATCATCCACTTTTCTGGTCTGTCATTGTAAATTAAGGAGAAATGAACAGTTGTAAAAAAGAAAGTAACTAATAATGAATCTTTGGTATGAATGTAAGATTAATGTAAGCATGAAAAGTGACTCTTAAGCAAAATCTTTGAACTTTGAGAAACGATAGGAAAAGATTTGCTGATTGCTATCTGCTTAGATAAGTAGTTTTGCTTACAATGTTGATGGCATTTTGATCAATAAATTTTAAATCTGAAACACTTAGAATTAATACTTAAAAACATTTATACTTAAAAACAGGTGTTCACATGTTACATGCAATGTACAGAACCACCAATGAGAAAACGATGAACTTTTCCCTAAGTGGGGGAGACATGTAAATAAATAAGCAAAAAGTATTAAGTTTTGTTTTCCTCAGAGTAAGGATATCTAATTTCATAATGGAAAATTGAATAATACGGTTAATTTGAACAGCTTGCTAGCTTGCTTTTATCATCTCTCCCATAAAGCAGTACTCTTTGGTAGAGGTATAAAAATGCTTTTTCTATTTCAGTTGATTTGTTTATGAAGTGTGTGTATGTGTGTGTGTGTAAATTTTGATTGGATTATTTTTTGAGATTTATTTATACAAGAACCAGGGCACAGACCAGATGCACGGGAGAGTGAGAGGATTCACCAGAGACAGAGTGGGGAACAGAACAGGCAGACTGACGAAATATACTGCTGAGGGAGCAGCAGGCGAGGCTGGAGGGGATGGAACTGGCACTGCAGAGACTGCGGACAGCTTCACAGTGCTGTGCACAACCACCTGCGCCACCAGGGAGGCACTGGATAATTTTTTATAAGATTTTTTGCTTTTATTTATGCATACAAGAACTGGGGTACAAGCCAGAGGTCTGGGGAGTGAGAGGACTCACCAGAGACAGACTGGGGAGCAGAACAGGCTGATCTATTGAAATACACTGCTGAGGGGAGCAGCAGGCAAGACAGGAGAGGTTTGCTGCACCATGTGGTTTTGCTCCCTAGTGTGGGGATCGAACTCATGCCACAGTGGCTCGTGATAGCCTGATAGTGCTGAGACTTTCACCCCTGCACCACCAGGGAGGCCCTTGTTTGGATTATTATAAACATGCATGTGTGTTTTGCTATTTGAAGTGGTGTTTAAATGAATCATTAAATTATGGTAAAGATACCTCTGCTGTAACACAACATACGCATTCCTGAAAAACCTCATGTCTGCAAAATCATGTCTGGAAAAAATACGGATAGACTATTCACTATGCAGCCTTATAACAGAGTACTAACAGAAACAACAATGATTTTTAAAACACTAGCACAAATTACCTTAACATAAATGGCATTTGTGTTAACCACTATAGACTGTCAGCCCTAATTGTCTTGAGGACATCTGCTTCAGTAGAAACTAAGTTTGTAAAAATTACATAATGAACCAGGATATAGTCATCTATGTTAATTGCTTTTTTTTTTTGAGAAGCAGTATATACAAGAGAAATTGTCTTTGTTGAGTGTTCATTTGCACCTTTAGTTTTCACTAGATAACAATGTTAGTCTCTGGGTTCTTGAAACTACTAAATTTGCTGTTAACTTTTTCCTAAAAAGGTAGTTGTTCTCGCCTTTTTTTTCTCCTTCACATTTTATCAACACTTTCTCTTTAAGGAAAGTCTGCCTCTGATCCCTTCATAACATAGTGGGGGAAATCCCTCTAAACCATTGATAACTTCTGTATCTGCTGACATCACTGCCTTTCTTAATTGCACATATACCAGTTCATATTAGAGCAGCATCTTGTAGTTTTACAGTTATGCTTTAGTGCAGGTAATTATAGTTACTTTGTTTAATTTACATTTTAAAAATGTTAACTTGCAAGTTCTTATAATGAGGATATTGTGTAGTTGAATTTACAAAACAGTTTGCAATGTCAGTCTCTACTATTGTGGTGGGCAGTGTAATATTTGACTTGTTTTTCTTTTAAAAACTGTTAATATATTTAATTAACTTTTTAATGTATTGGTAAGTATTACTTTTTTGAAAGTAATATTTCTATTAAGAGATGATCAGAATTGCGTGAATTAGTCTGATATTTTAAAGGAATGAAAACAATAATTTGCAAATAAATGAAGGACACTTTTAAAGAATGTGGATAAGAAATACGAATTCTTTAGTTTGTTTTTAAAGCTTTGAGGGTGAATTTTGTCAACTAATCCTATGGTTAAAAAGGTAAAAGCTATGTTTTATTTGCTCATATTTTCAAAGAATATTCTGGAACATTATTAAAAAATTGGCAACATTACCTCCAAGGAGAGGAATTGGATGTCTGTGGGGTGGAGGAAGATGGGAGGGAGTCTTTGAATTTTGAATTATGTTAGAAATAGGTTCACATTTTGAACCATGAGGTATTAGAAATAAAGCAAATTAAATTTAAAATGAAAACGAAAGTGCTTAAGTATAGAACAGAGATTGATTTAGCTTATCTAATAGTAACCACTTGATTTCAATGATCAGCTTAGCAGAGAGCCAGTCCTGTACTCACCAGTACAACTGGCACTCACCAGTTGGTTGTATGTATGGCAGGTGCAGAATAACAAAAGGATGACCAAATAAAAATATCGCTCATGTATTTTTTTCTATTAAAAGAAATCAACTCTTGTAGTTAAGTTGGAAATTCAACTGTTTGATAATTGCTAGATTTTTTTCTATAATCACAATGTCATTTTGTAAATCTTACTATCTCTGTTTGCTTTTAGTTGATGCTGATGAAATTAAAAGGCTAGGAAAGAGATTTAAGAAGCTTGATTTGGACAATTCTGGTTCTTTGAGTGTGGAAGAGTTTATGTCTTTGCCTGAGTTACAACAGAATCCTTTAGTACAGCGAGTAATAGATATATTCGACACAGATGGGAATGGAGAAGTAGACTTTAAAGGTAAGAAAGTAGTTTTTAAAATCTCACAATTTAGATAATCTACGAGTAGTCTTAAGAGTTTTATGTTTGAAAATATTTGAAAATTTTAGTTATTCTTCAATGTCTTTGTATTATTGGTGATTTTAGAATAATAGTGTATGTTTAAATTTTAAAATCTGTGGTGTATGAACCTTAACAAACTAAGATCTTTTACTTTGTGGCTCACAAACTATCATATTGCCCTATAAGATACTCTTAAAAATTAGGAGTTAATATTTGCTTTATTTTTAGAAAAGCCTCACTTTAGGGAATGTAATATAGGAAGCTGCATTATTTAAAAACTTTTTTAAAAAGAATGAGACTTAAGTGAGCAATTAAAATAAACAGCAATAAGGATATGAATACTTCTATAGAAGGGATGGATATATTTTAGTTAATGTACATTTTGTACTAAGATACTCAATAGTGCTTTTGCTAATACTAATGATACATAATTTTATTCTTGATTCTATACTTTAAATTTTATTTCAGTGGTGAATCATGAACAGTTTGTTATTTGCTTTTCAGGAACTGAATGATTATAAGTGAAGGGAGCTAAAATTGATGATGATTTAATGTTTACCAGCAGTGAAGAAAAATGATCACTTATCATGAAACTTCAGTTTACTGAAGTGATTCTAAATGTTGGGATCAGAAATCCAAATTTTTTTGTTGTTAAACATTAAACAATGTTTAATCCTTTTTTTTTAAGTCCTCCTTTATAATTATATTTCAAGAACATTACTAGCTTTAAAGAATGTTTGGGGTATTATGCTCTATGGTACTTATATGTTTCTACAACTTTGACTTTAGAGGACTCAAAGTTGATTTTATATATATATATTTGTATATATATGCTTACACATATATAATACATGACTATATAGACACACATATATGATCCATTATATGTGCGTATGTGTGTTATTTTTATGACCCTTTTTGCTATTTCATATGTGGCATTTTCATTATTAAATACTGCTAGTAATATTTTCTTTTACCAGCAAGAAAAGTCCTTTGTTTTTAAAAAGAAAATATCCACGTTGGTTTTCTGTGTAAAAAATTGAAATTTCTGATATGTAACCTTTTCTTGTTCTACTCAGAATTCATTGAGGGAGTCTCTCAGTTCAGTGTCAAAGGAGATAAGGAACAAAAGTTGAGGTGTAAGTACTTTTCTTCATTGATTTCATTCTCCCTTTTATACCCACTACTACTTCATACTGCATTATAACCTCCTTGTAAAGCATTCTAAAAGTTTTCTTTTTATTCTAGATTTTTAGTAGATATTACAGGAATGTATTTGCAACTAGTATTTTTAATAATGTGCCATTGTAGGTTTTAGTTGAATAGAAAGAAAATGGAACTCATTTTTACTGAAAACAGTCAAGTTCAATATCCTACTTGGATAAGATTTTTTTGTTGTTGTTCATGATGAAAATAGGGAGAATTGGTCTAATATGATTAGATTAACTTAGTTTACACACATTGAATTCAGAAATAGCTAGCCAGAAGTCCACTATTTTGACTATGATAGACAACCTCTATTGCAGTGATCATTTGATACCTTTTAAATTATTCAGCTCTTAACTAGAGAGACATTTTATTGAATGACCGTTCTCAGCATAGCGTATATAAGATGTTTATCTTACGCAAATTAACTCTTGATATAATTGAGAGTAGTAATAATAGCAGTTGGTATCTTTTATTGAGCTTTTACCATGTATCAAACTTGTGATATAAACTGTTCACATGTATTACTCACTCATACACTAAAAAATCTGGGAGGTTGGAACTGTTCCTAGCCCCTATTTTACATGTGCAGAAACTGAAGTAAGTTAAATATTGCCCTAGGCTATGCCAGTTGGCCTGTGCAGTCTTGATTCATAGCCTATATTCTTAGCTATGTTAAGTTGCGTCTAAAGGTAACATCTATATTCATGAAGGCTCATAGTTATGATTCTAGATGTTTAGCAGTTTACTATGTTCTTTATCAAAATATTTACTTATTATATGCTTTATTATTGCCATTGATTTTCCTTACTTTTCTTTTTAGTTGCTTTCCGTATCTATGACATGGATAAAGATGGCTATATTTCCAATGGGGAGCTCTTCCAGGTGCTGAAGATGATGGTGGGGAACAATCTGAAAGATACAGTTACAGCAAATCGTAGACAAATAAATCAATGCAGATAAGGATGGGGATGGAAGAA